ATGATATGAAAAATGAGCGACATAAATTTAGAAAGCAGAGACAAACAACGATTTTTTTTTACAAATTTAGCAGTAATAAGTGAAATCACAAAGTAAAATGTGATTAGTGACCAAATCATTCACCTTTGCAATTTGAATATTCGCAAAATCAGGGATTTCTCTCTGCAGAAGAACAACCCAACATTCCTCACGACCTCGAGATCATCATTACTCAGATTCTCTGTCCACGAACTCATGTTTGCCCTGTCGACAATGATGATCGAGTACTGTCCGTCTGGCTGCAGCATCAACACCGCGTGCCCTGTCGACCCCTCCGGTGCGAAGAGCCTCCTCGATCAGCTTCTCGTGCGCGTCGACTCTGAGACGGCCAACGACGAATGTCGGATACCGTAACTTCGGCCCGAACGCTGCCTGGTTTGCGCCTTTTTCCGACGGCGAAGGTCTGTCCTCTCCTCACTGAGATTGTCTTCCTTCTTTGGACAGTCTCTCAATATCTGCGTAGGTGTCACCCCGCCACGATGAGCGGCGGTGCGTGGGCATCACGACCGAGTGGGTTTGTTGATTCACCGACGGATCGGCTGAGAGCGAGAGGTTTTGGAGGGTTTTCCTGGGGATTGGTCGAAGAAACCGAGATCGACGTGGAATCAAATTGTTGTCGGGTCACTTCGTTTGATTTTATTGAACATCTAGATGAAGATTTGTCGATCGAGAGAGTGAAATCGCTTTATTTATACGAAAAGTTTTGACCTTTGAGAGAACATTCCGGTGCCGTTAGAGACACCTAATAGTGGCTAATGAATACTTCTGATCACGTTTTTTTTATTATTGAGCAAATAAAAGAACGGTCTTGACCGATTTTTTATAAATTTTTAACTCCATTAAGTAATCCACAATAAATTTTATTTACTCCAAAATAATCGTAGACTATTCTCCCGTTTTTTTATCATTGAATTAGTGAATACTTTTAACAACAATAAATTTTAGTATAATTTTATTTCATATTTTAAATATAATAATTTATAGACAATTTTCAGCTAATAAGAGGTTTACAAAAACCAATGACAATTGAGAAAACTATCATCAAAGAGAACGTTTCTTTTGTTTTATATAAAATAGATAAACTTTTTTATTTTTTGTTATAATAATCTACTTACATTTTTTTTTGTATCAAGGTTTTAAAATAGATTTTAAATATAAATATAAGAAAATAAAAAAAACTAAGATCAAAATAAACTTTTATATGTTAAAAGTTAACGTTTTGTCTTTTTAATTATAATAATCTATTGATATTTTCAATTATTATATTTGTCACATATTTTTTATATGTAAAAATTAGTTCACCTTTTTTGTATATAACACATTCATACACATATATCATTCATTCTTCGCTCTTACTGCATCCCCAATCACTGTTGCTGCTCGAGCTTTCGTTGCTCGAGCTTCTGCCGCTCAACGTGCCTGAACGCTCATCGCTGTTGTTCATGAAGAGTCTCTGGCTTGCGATCTCAGTGACGGATTATATTTGTCACATATTTTTTATATGTAAAAATTAGTTCACCTTTTTTATATGTAAAAATTAGTGTTAAAATTATTATATATAAATGTGTTAAAATTAATTATAATAATAATTATAATTTTGATTGTGAAAGATGATAAGAATTCGATAAAAATTTTAAAAAATTGCCACATGTTTCGATGACGCTTTAGCATCTTAGTCACAATAGGTTATTTTGCTTTAATTTTCTTTTTAAATGTTTATTCCACTAAATATCATTTATTTATCCATTTACTCTCATTATAATGAAACATGCTCTTCTTCATTGATAGAATAGCAAGCAACTTTTTATTTTTGTAACCGTTCCCTTAATGTGTTTAAGAACATTTTGTTTTTATAATTATAATAATTTATTGGCATTTGTTTTTTATATCATGACCTCAAATAAATTTTAAATATAAGTGTAATCAATTAAATATCTCAATAATATATTAAACTAAAATGAAAATAGATTTTTAATACAACAAATTGAATCATTTTTTATTTAAATATTTATTTACGTTTCAATCTTTATTTATATAAAATATAATCTATTGTTATTTTTCATGTTTTACATATCTAAAAAAACATCCACATATTTCACATTTCACCTCTTTAAAATTGGTGATAATCTAATAAAAATTAACATAATAATGATTATTTTAAATGACCAATAAGAATTTTTTAAATCACCATATAATCTGATTACTCATTTTTGTATTATATGTCACATTGTATTTATTAAAAAAATATGTTTTAATTAATTAAATGACCAATAAAAACAAAAAAGCGCCACATAGATGATGAGGTGGATGCTTAGGTGTCTTCACCACAATCCTTTAAATACTATTATTTATATATATAAATGACCAATAAAAACAAAAAAAGTGTCACATAGATGATGAGGTGGATGCTTAGGTGTCTTCACCACAATCCTTTAAATACAATTATTTATATATATAGATTTATATATGAAAAAAATAGAAAGAAATAACAAAATGATAACTTTTTTTTTTTGTATGAGTGAATTACCAATGAATGAAAGTAACGGTTTTTACCACATTTATTCTAATAATAATTGTGGATAGTGGATTAGTGGGAAATAGTAACTATTTTTTTCATTAATAGGTTAATAAATAATTTTTTTCTTGTTGGACTCAGAGAACAATGAAACGTATTTGAACAAAGGGACATATAAGACTGTTGGTTAATATTGATGGAAAAGACGGTCTAGCATCTTAGTTATGGTACGTTTTTTGGTTTAATTTCTTTTTAATTTGTTATTCTATTAAATATCATACAATTTTCTATTTACTCTTTTCAATAACCGTTTTCTTTTTATGTAATAAAAAATTTATTTACTCCGCTATGACTGTTTCTTTTTTTTTTTGTAATAAAGAAGGCCTCCACTTACTCCACAATGATAGTTCCATTTTAAAAAAGATTTTTATTTTTTGAATTATAATAATTTAGTAATATTTTTTTGTTAAAATAAAATCATTAAGATTTAACCATAATAATTTATTAATAGCTTTCTTTGTAAATAGGTTTTTTTAGTATAGATAAGATGAATTTTGTGGTTTTTTGTTATTTTTATTAAAATAAAATCATTAAGATTTAATCATAATAATTTATTAATAGTTTTCTTTGTAAATAGTTTTTTTAAAATAAAGACAAAATGAATTTTTTGGTTTTTTAAGTAAATATTTTATTCACATTTTTATATTTTTATACATTTATAACTTATGACTATTATAAATAATTTTATAATCCAATAAAAATTAAAACAATGCCACATGGATGATGATATGGAAGATGAGGTGGCTTCACCAAAATCCTTTAAACACAATTATTAATATATATAGATTCGAGAATTTAAGTTTGGAATTTTCTTCGTTGCTTCTAGTTTTATAATATAACAAATATTCTATGAGGGGATACACGAGTGAAGTGTAAAATTAGGAAAAAATATTATATTTTGATCCCAATTCCTCAATTACAAAAAAAAGTCAATTTTATTAATTTTTTTTTGCAAAATTACATTTAAAATATCCAAGAAATTCAAGACATCGTCCGAGGATTTTGAACTATTGCAATAGTAGTTCAACCCTTGAACAAGAATCTACGTGCAGAAATATATGCTTATATTAACACTTTTTAGTTTTTCTAATGCTAACGATTATGACTTGATGTTTTAGTTTACAGTTCTATTTTGATTTAGTTATTCTTGAATTTTGAAATTTATATTAGAAAAAATTATAAACGCTAAATTTTATATCAAATTCCAGTTCAATTTTTATACCAAAATTCAATTCGATTTGTATTTTATTTAGATTCATTTTTTTACTACAAATATTTATTTCTCAAAATTTCTGCTGTTTTGGTTATATTTTTTTCTATTAGCATTTTATTAATATAATTGAAAACATAATATCCAATCAATTTTAAAATTAGATTCGATTCGATACAATTAGATATTATTTGGTTTTATTCGATTTGCATATCCCAAATGAAAATACTCACTTAGTAACAATATTTTTAGTTTTTTTATTTCCTATTATTTTTTTGACAGCGAAATTATTTAGAACTGATTTAAATCAGGGGTGGACAAAATAACCGAATCCAAAATAACCGAGCCGACCGGTATATACCCGAACCGAACCGAACCGATTAGATATGAATATTTCAAATTCGAAAATACCGAACCCGAAATAACCGTAAACCAAATAAACCGAATCTGAATTAACCGTAAACCGAATATAACCGTTTATTCATCTATATATCATCAATTAATATGCAATATATCCTAAATATAATTAGAAAAATTAGTATAATGATATTGTTTTATAATCATAGTATATAAGAAAACGAAATATACATGTATTTTAATACTGTTTTTGTTATTTTTATAAGACAATTGATTAAAAAAAATTATCAATTTTTTGTTTGGATAAATCCGAACAGAATCCGATCCGAACCGATTAAAATAATATACCCGATTGGATATAAATATTTCAAATATGAAATAGCTGAACCCGAATTAACTGAATCGGATTAAACCGAACCTGCTCGATGGCCCACTCCTAAATTTAATAATTTAAGTTTGATTTTTAATTTAAAAAACTTCATATGGAATAAAACAATTGAATATGTCTCGTGTTATTGATACATATAACTCTATTGGTTAAGGTCCCTATGGAAAATACCAAAAATAGAAAATGACTTACCAATTGACTTGCAAGGTCTTCGATTATATTTAATGATACGCTTGACATTTAAATGTCATTTTTTTAATTCTCTGCACCGCAAATTTCTTTTATAAAGTAAAAAAAAAAATATGGCATAATATATATGAAACTTCCTCCAAATTTCTCGGAAGAAGCCTGCCATGTGCTGTATATGTATATATCCGTGTGTATAAATATGGGTCATATCTGCACCATAACTATCATGAACACAACAAAACAAGAAAAACAATAAGCATTCTTCCTTTTTATATGATTTTGGTTTTCCTTCTTAATTCGTGAAATCGATATTTATATTTACCGTAAAACTCTTATATATATATATATTCTTAGAGGGGGGAAATTAAATTAAAAAATGCAAATAAATAAACAAATGGCGGGAGTGACGTCGGGGCGTTACAAAGTGATACATCTCGTGAGGCATGCGGAGGGAATTCATAACGTAGAAGTCGACAAGAACAAGAAAGCTCTGTTCTCTCCTTCGTTGTCCGATGCTCAGCTCTCCCCTCTTGGTTGGAAACAGGTAACACACACAAACCCAAATATTTATTATTGTTCGATAATATATATATATATCAAATTTCATTTCTCTTATTATTTATTACTAAACAACCCATATAAGAATGAACCAAACTAAACCAAATTAACCTAAAGCAGCCTTTGAAATAACTCGCATTGATATCATATCCGACATTTTTTTTATAGCAAACATTAAGTTAATCGAAAAATTTACGATTTCTTTAATCAGGATTCGAGTTATTATGAGTTGAAATTAGTATAAATTATTTCAGTAAAATCGAATTCGAAAAGAATGAACAAAGACACATATATATCTCCATTCATCTAATTAAAAAAATTAATTTCTTTATAAAGTTTATAAAATTCTCATAAAATTAAATTCTTCCATGTAAAATTGAATTTAATCCCAGTTATATATATTTTTTAGGTCCAATTATGATATTTTTTAACACTACAATGAAATAATGTCTTTTTTCAATAGGTGACAGAGAGACGAAGAGAAGTTCATGAGAGTGGATTGCTCAAGAGGATAGAGTTAGTAGTTACATCTCCAATGCAGAGGTACATTTTCCTTTGTATGTCCTCACATCAACTTAGTAATGTATTTTACATGACAAGATATATATACGGTACTCGTTAACGATACAGGACGATCCAAACAGCAACCGGGATTTTCGGGAAAGAACATAAATCCAAACACAATATTTCATCTCCGACTTCCATCGCGAATTATCCTCCAATCATCGCTTTCGAACTTTGCCGCGAACAATTGGTGCGTTTTCTCCAACTCTTAATGCTATGTGAATTTGCCGGTATACAAGATTTTACATGTATAAATTCTCGCCTTTCTTTGGTTTTCGGATGAAGGGAATGTATCCTTGCAATAGAAGAGGAAGTGTTAGCAAGTACATACCGAAATTTCCCGAGATCGATTTCTCATTGGCAAGTTCTTATATTCCTTTTTTTTTTCTCTCGATCGGATTCAAAGTTCTTGATTTGGACCGAAGATCATCGAACTCGTTCACGTTTTTTGCCCTCGGTCTGCAGATAGAGAGCGAGGAAGATCAGATGTGGCAAGCCGACGCAATGGAGAAGGTCGAGCAAGTGGCTGCCAGAGGAATGCAATTCTTAAAATGGTGAAGAAACTTAGCTCAATTACAATATATAATTAACGTAATTGGGGAATAATTCTAGGTCTTTTTTTTTTCATGTTGTTACGCAAATGATTAACCAAAACAAAATTAAATAAATGAGAACGTTATACCTGAATCCATTATAGAATCGTCAGCTAAAGATGTAGTCGTGGAAATTAGGACAATAGTCAATTATATCAATACCATAGAAAAAAAAATAGTTTTACAGAAATGAGTTGTTGTAAGAAACTGGTGTTACAAATAAAAATATGACCTAGAAACCACTGCAAATTTATAAAATTGTTATTGTGTATTCTATTATACCCATAAAAAAATAAAAAAAAATCACGAAATGATACCTATTTATTAATCCTAAGTTTATTGAAAATGTCTATTGGATCTCATAATTTTAATCGATCACAAAATTATTCAACTATAAAATATCATTTATAATACGTGATCAAATATGGTTAAAATATTGGCGCTCGATAAAATGTTTATTTAAATTGTTTATTGTTAAAGTTCGTTTTGATTATATTGTGAAGGTTGTGGGAACGTGAAGAAAATGAGATTGCAGTTGTGAGCCATGGGATCTTCTTACAAGAAACTCTGCTTGCCTTCGCCGACAACCTCGATCCTTCTGTTAAGTCCAAACTGTGCAAGAGGTTATATCCTTTAAAAAAACAAAAACTATATAAAGTTGATAGATTCTTGTTACAAATTGCTATACAAACGGGGGAAACCCCTAGATGAGTTGGTAAGGTAGTTTGTCCCATACCATAAGGTTGTGGGTTCGATTCCTTGCTAACGCATCTATCGCCTGTCAGTTACGGCTGATTCACCTCCCACGCGTGTGTTGCAGGCTCGTGCGTGTGGGTTTGGGTTTACTCGGTCAGCGCACCCGAAGGGTAGCAGCCGGGGTTCCCAATGTATCAAAAAAAAAAAAAAAATTGCTATACATACATTTATTAAATTAATTTATACAAAAACTATAAAGTTGTGTCCATAAATAAAACTCTCTTGTATGAAATTATATAGACTAGGTAGCATACCTAATGTTACAAATAGAAGAACATATAGACTCGTTCCTCTAATTAAATTATTACCAAATACAAATAGAAGAATATATAAACTCTCTCGTATGAAATTATATAAACTCATTCCTCTTAAATTTATGTTATAAAAAAAATAGTGCTAGTTAGTTGAATGCTTAACCTTCCATATATATAATCTTTCTAGGATATTATTACCAAACATTCTAAGAATAAGAATAGAGAAAATTTTGTGAAAACTTGAATTGTTTTTTTTTTTATAAAGGAAAACTTGAAATTCTTCCGAAATTTAGATATATGAATAATTCAAATTTGAATAATAAATATATATTATTCGCGAGTTTGAGTTTGAGTAGATTCGAATATTTTTTTTTCTAAATTCAATATAAAAAATACCTTTTATTTTTGTTTCTATTAGAAGAATATATATCTACTTTTTATATTAAATACAAAAACTCATAAAGTTTTTATATTTATTTAAATGTTTCTACTAAAATGCATACATTTATTTATTTTTCTCATTTAAAATGATGTTAAAAAAAAGGAAAAAAACAATGAAATTAAAATATTATTCTTTCGTATACCAAAACGTTTGGATTCAATTTTGGATATCATTAAATTGTTTTATATTCAAGACCCTATTACCTTTTCTTGTTCTCTTATTGATTCTAAAATATAATTAGAAATTAAACAGTGATAATACTTATAATCGCAGGTTCTTGAACTGTGAACTTCGCTCCGTGATCATCTATGAGAGGTTAGAATTTATGTTTATCTTTTAAAATTAAAATTTATCCTCCTACTTCTTATCTGCAAATCTTTTTTCTTTTTCTACGAAGCTGTAATTTATATCAATAATCGCATTTCAAATTCGATAAATTTAAAATATGCAGCGAGAAGGAATCAGACAAGATTGGGTACGCTGCGGACCTTTCAAAGGAAGCTCCATGATGAAAATTCCAAGCGGGTGGACGAATTAGATGCTTTCAACGTCCAATCCAATTTCATATTTCAATAAAGTTTGTAACGTTTAATAAAAAGGTGAAGATAATAACTATGTGTACATGTATACATACATTATAATATAAATATGTATGCGTACATACTTATGTGTGTATTATGGTATCAATGCCATCAGCTCACATAATTGTTTCCGCTGTTTGGTCTGAACCAAATGTTCAAGACATTTAAACAGGGTGTGATGATGAGAACATATTTCAATTTCTGTTCTATGTACTTAAAACTATAATATTCTAATAAAAAAAATTACAATATTATTATATAAACTAGATATAGTTTTTTTGCATGGGAGACTCATTTCAATTTTATAGAGCGAGATTTCAATTTTCTGTTGTGTTTAGTTTACAAGTACGGATAAAACTCTATTACATATTTTTTTTTTGTGAAACCATGAATTTATATTTCGTAGGAATACAAGGAATGAACTCTACATTCCTCAAGGAATTTTACCATCAATTTTCGTTTTTATTTTCTTTCCGAATATCCTTTTGCACATATGAATACTCAAATATATATAAACTTACACTAATCATTTATAACCGTATCAACACACAAGTTTTGATGGTCGAATGGTAAGTGAACACCGTCTCACCCCAAATTCGATTTAAAAAGTGTCGTAATTTTCATGGTCATTCTTTTAAATCTTTTTAAAATATAGTTGCGTCTAAAATTTTCGGAACATAAATAAAATCCTTCACATCAACACAATACATATATACATACACAAGTTTTCTCTAACTGTATCTGAAAAAAATTTAAGATGTTCTCAATTTTAGACGTTCAGAATTTAGGAAATGAAAAAAAAAAATTGATTTTTATTCATGTATACATTAATTTTAGATGCATTTAGTTGTTATTAGAGTATATCTAAAACTCTAACTCAGATTCTTGTAAGGAAGGAGATCTTACTGTTAATATACATATCAATTAGCTCTTGATTACGAGACAATCTGTTGCCTATTTTGTCTCCTCTCACTTGTATATATCTCGATGTACTTATACAAATGATATTATGAAAATCTCTCTCACTACATTAATTGTAATATATGGTATCAGAGTCTAAATCTAAAGACAACCCACGATCCTCTCTTTTTCTCACGAAAAACCCTAATCGCCATCCATGTCTTTCGAAGGCACCACCTCTCCGGGCTCTCCTACTGCCATCGACACTTTCCAAACCTATGATTCTGCCAACCCATCCTTTGTATTGATTAACATCAACGTGAGCAATATGTCGCAACTCTCGGCCTCCAACTACATGATTTGGGCTCTTTAGATTCGATCCCTTCTGCAAGGGTACAATCTGTTAGCTTTTAAAAAAGCTTTGCAAGATGACCACTCAAAGTACTTCCCGAAAGCTCAAGTCTTCACTTTTCTATTCATACTCTCTCCAACTATTTTTCTTACAACTTTTCTTTTTTTTTCATGTGTTTCTTCTTATGTTTTTCCACTTACACATTACCGCTTTTTATATTTATCCTAAACACATATTTCTATACACATTTATTTAAACTTCATTTCCCATACATATTCAATACATTTAAACTTCTACAAACTTCTAGATTACTCCTTCCAAAGCTTCTTGAAAATGGCATCCTTGACTTTGAATTCTTCTAGGTAATCAAGATTAATATTCAACATTCCCTCCTAAGCTTGATTCTCCCATGCCAAGCTGGTGACATAACTTCTCTTTTCTTCCACATTCCATTCTCCAATGACCCATCAAAGTTGATCGGTTCCTTATCTGCAAAAAGACAAAAACAAATTCTGATGTTGATTGAGATCATAGATCTCCTCCAAACTCCTCGTTCCTCTCGGTCCAATAGCATTAGGACTATCTTTGGTTGATGAAGATAGTCCCGAGCTGGATCCAACCTCAAAATGTGATTGTGGAGTTGGCGTTGAAACCTCTTGTTCAAGCTCCTTTTCTTGATCATTTTCTATCACAAAAGGATAGAAAGTAAACTTCTCTTTGTCATCCGAACTCCAATCCCATGCACTCTTTTCATCTCCAATCACATCTCGACTGATCTTGATTTTCTTCTCAATGGGATCGTATAGTTTTGTAACCTTTTGATTGTTGATTGTATCCCACAAAGATGTATTTCACACTACGATCATCAAGCTTCTTCCTTCGTTGTTATGAGACATGAACATATGCAAGACTACTAAATATCCTCAGATGAGATACATTAGGTCTGTATCCACTCCACACCTTGAGGTGTCCGATTCCACACACTCTTCGTCGGACATCGATTCAACAAATAAACCGCACAATCAACGGCTTCAGCCCAAAACTCCTTCGGCAGATTCTTACTCTTCAACATACTTCGGACCATATTCAAAATAAACTCAATGATTTAATTTCATAGCCGCTCACTACAAAAAAAACCCTAATATCAACGGATTTTTCCGTTGAAATAGCCCAAGTATCCGTTGAAAATCAACATTTTCAACGGAATTTTCAACGGACGTAACTCGTTGCAATACGGTCGTTGAAATCAAGATTCCGTTACCAACCGTTGAAAATGTCAACGGATTATCAACGATAAAATTCCGTTGATAATAGCAACGGTTTGGCAACAGAATAATCCGTTGGTATATGTCAACGCATTTTGCAACGAATAAATCTGTTCCATATTTCAACATGTTTGTTGATACACACTGTTGCAAATTTGCAACAATAGCAATCGGTGGAAAAATCCGTTAATAATATCAATGGGATTCGCAACGGATGTCCGTTGATGATATTTGTCAACGGATATATCTGTTTACGTTCGAATATATATATATATATATATATATATATATTTATATATTAAAAAATTAAAAAATATAAATAAAAAATATAAATATTTAAATTAAAAATATTAAACCATATAATTAAACGAGGTTCGATACACAACACGACCGTGTCGAATGCAACACGGTCCGTGTCGAATGCAACATGGTCCGTGCCGATTCTTCAACTCGAACATGCTTAACACACTAAAAAAAACCCCTAATATCAACGGATTTTTCCGTTGAAATAGCCCAAATATTCGTTGAAATCAACGTTTTCAACGGAATTTTCAACGGACATAACCCGTTGTAATACGGTCGTTGAAATCAAGATTCCGTTACCAACCGTTGAAAATGTCAACAGATTATCAACGATAAAATTCCGTTGATAATAGCAACGGCAAGGCAACGGAATAATCCGTTGATATGTCAACGTATTTTGCAACGAATAAATCCGTTCCATATTTCAACGTATGTCCGTTCTACACACCGTTGCAAATTTGCAACAATAGCGATCGGTGGAAAAATCCGTTAATAATATCAACGGGATTCGCAACGGATGTCCGTTGATAATATTTGTCAACGGATATATCTGTTGACGTTCGAATATATATATATATATATATATATTTATATTAAAAAATAAAAAATATAAATAAAAAATATAAATATTTAAATTAAAAATATTAAACCATATAATTAAAAGAGGTTCCGCCGGTTGAAGGTGTCGTTGAGGGAGGTGGAGGATGAACTCCTCTAAGCAGCTCGATCATGTGTTCGAGATTAGTTATCTTCACTTGCTGCTCTGTCCATTTCGCATGTTGTTCTGCCATCTGCCGCTCCGTCTCTTCCTTCTGATGTTGGAGCGATCGTTCAAGTTGTTTTATCCGACATTGTTGGTCGGTATCGATCTGTACTTGAGGATGAACCAGCGATCCAAAATCTTGAGCAAATCTCTCTGGAGGCCTCCTAAACCGTAGATGCGGCCTTTGTTCCGCTCAACAGACTACAAAATAATATATATTATATATAAATTATTTAATCAATAATAATATAATATAAAGATTGAAAAAATAAAATTGATTTTATACCTAAGCATAACATTTGTCTTGATCAGTAGGAGACAAGTAAGTACCCGACGATGAACTGGCAGGCGCCGTTTTGGGGGGTCGTTCACCAGTCCCAACACCCGTTCAGCTCGAAAATCGACAAACCGACCATCGGAACGTCTATGCGTCCGATCAACCAACTCAACTATGGACGATTTTCGTCCCATTTCCCGTTGCTACAAATATAATATATAAAATATATTAAATTAATATATAATTATAATTTTTGATAAATTAATAAATAAAATTCATACCAATTCTTTCGCCCGTTTTTTGAAAGATTTGGCGCCAGAAGTATGACGATGAAGACCATCTCCTTCAACTTGTTGGCTGAGACGACTCTCTCTAGCTTTTCGACTCTTGTCTCTAAAATGATCTGAATTCCAATGCGCTAAAGGAGCATTGAAGATGTCATCTGTCGCCCACAATGGTCTCTCCCCCTTTTTGTCGTACTTTCGCTTTGCATTGCTCATGAGAAGTTTGATTCTCGTCTGGCCCAACATGTTAAACTCCTTGTAAACTCTTTCGGTGATCGGTTTTTTCCACCGAAAAGTTTGCTAGAAAAAAAATACACACACTAAAACTAATTTAATAATTAGATTATAACGAATTAATATTATATTTTAATACTTACAATAAAAGATAGCCACCACTGCCGGCGAATGTGGTCTGGAGCTAAAGTCCAACAATAATACAGCTGAGGCAGACGAGCTGTAATTATTCTAGTTAGAGCGCTTTTTATTTGATCATCATTAACTCCAAACCTACATAACATAAACATATTAGTTAGTAAATTCAATAAAATAAAAATAAAAATATTATAATTATACCATAATCCATCATCGCGATCAGGATTGATACTCCGTTTATATCAGTTGTGCCAATCACCAAATCCTTTGCACTTTATATGCCCAAAATTATCTTCACATCAAACGGATTCTTGCAAATCGTCAATAACACCGCTGTTTATCCGTTCAGAATAAATTTAGAAGCCTGTCTGCAATATTGGAGCATACTCTTTAACAATTCTACCTTTCAAAAACGCAGTACAGTTTTGCCGTAATGGATGATGCATTGGAAGAAACCGTCGATGACAATCGAACCAACACGATTTCCGGTCGTGCTTTAAGTAAAACGCATCAGTTTCTTTCATACAATATGGACACGCCAATCTTCCATGTGTGCTCCATCCAGATAGCATACCATATGCAGGAAAATCGCTGATCGTCCATAGAAGCACAACTTTTAGTGTGAAATTTTGTTTCACACTAACATCATATGTAGGATCTCCAATGTTCCACAAATCTGTCAATTC